TTGAAATCTATGGTAGCCCATTTCTGCCACCTAAAATGTTTTTAAAAATCCAGCACCTATTTTTTATTCTTAATAAGACTGCTGTGCCATTGTTTCGCGATACTAAGTCATTATTTTGAGATGCTATCTCATTATTTTAAGATGCTAAGTCATGATTTGAAGATGCTAAGTCATTAGTTCAAGATGGTAAGTCATTATTTTGAGATATTAAGTCATTGTTTTGAGATATCTCATTTTGAGACGTTAAGTCATTATTTTAAAATACTATCTAGATTTAGAGACGCTATGTCATTATTTTGAAATACTATATCATTATTTTGAGATGCTTAGTCATTATTTCGAGATACTATCTCATTTTGAGACAGTAAGTCATTATTTTGAGAAACGTTCACATTATTTATTATATATATTTATTTTTTCTTCAAAAGCAAAACTATTCAAAATATCAGATAGTTTACCAAAATAATGACTTATTGCAAAATAGCAATTCACTTAACAACGATAATAATAATTAGGTGTTGGATGTTTAATTTTAAGTGGCGGATTTTGGTTTCGGTCCTTCTGTTAAGATGTAAAACCTAAAAACGCTGAACAAAAACTTTCAGAAACTACTATTTATGCTTTATTTTTCATTTTATATGTTGACGCTGTATGAGTCCAACGGGTCTCCAGCGTTAGTTTAACTGACATTTGTTTATATTTATCACTTTGTTGAAGTCCATTCAAAATAAAGACGACTGTGTTGTATTTACTGTGGAGTCACATGGCCACCATAGAAGGCCGCGCTGTCTGTGGCTGCGCTCCAATATGCGCACTAGTACACTAGACTTCATAACTAGTTCGCGTGGGTTATTAAGTGCGTAGCTTCGAGGAATTGTATTCAAGAGCACAGCGACGCTCAGACCTGAACAGAGATGAGTGAGTTCAGATATCAGATCATCTCCTGCAGATTGTAGATTAAGGAGGAGACGCGCTTTAAGTACAACACTGTGCTGTTACCGCCATATTTAGTCATATCAATGACGCCATTGCTCCAAATGCTGAGTATAAATAAAATACAGACACGCACTTCTGGACTCAGAAAAACAGGATCGGAGAGGATTTTGTTTTCATGTATTTCGTATTAAATTTTATTTTTTTTCTAAAAAAAATATATCACATTCACAAATGCAAATTTAGAATTATAAAACCGTGTTTTTCCCTTATTTATAAATGAATTAAAGCTGTATAAAAATCCCACAGCTGCTAAAATTGTTATTTTGCTACCATCTTATAACATTTATAAAGACTATTTATTGTCTGTTTTTCTTTTCTTTTTGTGTCTGTAATTACCGTCAGTAATGATAATTATAATAATAATAATAATAATAATAAGCATAAAAGAGAAAGACAGATTTACAAGTTTGTCTCCAGAAAGATCAGACGTCACTAATGTACATCCAACTGTGGGTTTTGTAGTTCAGTTGTATTTTAAACTTAGTAACTATATTTATCACTCAGCAAAATATTCTACTATTGGAAAGTTTTCCTGACTGCGGTGCGTCTCTGATCGTAAGATAACTGTTTCACAAAGTTCAAGTGTTTCGCAAGTCTGGGCCTCTCTCTGCCCCTACTTGCTATGGCCCTAGATAGTGTACAAGGGCACAGGATGCAGGCGCGCGAATTGGAACGCTGCTCGTGTATGCTGGGCAGAGCTGGTCACGTGACCCTCCGTCGAAGGCCCCGCTGTAGGGAAAGAGGGGGAAAGGAAAGATGGCGGCTGCAGGAGAATAGGAGCGGGACGCCGGACGTTCAGCTTGAGCCTGGGCCGAAAATCGAGTCCGGTGCTTCTGCGTGGAAACGTCGGAGACCTCGGTGTTCAGTGGGAGTGTCGGGGGTGTTTTGGTCTGATTTCCGTGAAGCTGGGAGCCCGAGAAGAGTGAAAAAGACCAGGAAAATAACAACAACAACAATAATAATAGTTCACTGAGACAGAAATAGAGGAGAAAAGGCAGAAATGAGAGGCAGGAGAGGCAGAGCGCCGAAGTCCGATCTAGCACTGGGAGGTCCGGGAGCCCCAGCCCGAGGTGCCCGGGGTAGAGGAGCCCGGGGCCGTGGCAGAGGGGGCAGAGGCCGCGGCCGGGGTAGGGGGGGCACACCGCGGGACTCAGAGTCTGTGGTGGCTGCAGGGGAGAACCAGCCGAGCTCCAGGCGGCGGCGGTGGAAGTGGAAAGGAAGGAGGAGGAGAGCGGAGGCGGGAACGGAGAGGGGCGGGAGTCGCGGCGGGAGCAGAGGGAGACGGATAGCGGGGAAAGCGGAGTACGATGACCGGGACACTGAAGAGGAGGCGGAGGAGGAGAGCCTGCGGTCCGAGGAGGAGGAGGAGGAAGGGGAGGGGTTCGCACGCTACTCGGATGGTGATTATGTTTATGGAGATGGAGATGAAGACGATGATGAAGAAGTGATAGACGAAGACGACGGGTCGGATTATGTGGCGGAGGGAGAGGAGGAGGAGGAAGAGGGGAGCAATTTACACGGAGACACGCCAGGTGCTAAACCCACTTTCACTCATTCATACTTTCTCATTCACTCTCTTTCATTTGCTCTCTATCTTTTTTGTCTCTCTGTATCACTTTTTACTCACATCATTTTCTCTTTTTTCTTTCCCTCTCTCTGTCTTTTACTTTCTTCTCTTCTTCTCCTACTTTCCTCTCTCTCTTTCTCTCTTTCTCTCTCTCTTTCTCTCTCTCTCTCTCTCTCTCACTCTCTCTTACCTTCCTAACTCTCTCTTACCTTCCTCTCTCTCTCTTTCTCTCTCTCTCTCTCTCTCTCTCACCTTTCTCTCTATCTCTCCCTCACCTTCCTCTCTCTCTCTCTCCTTCTCTCTCTCTTTCTCTCTCACCTTCTCTTTCACTCTCTCTAACCGCTCTCTCTCCTTCTCTCTTTCCTTCCTCTCTCTTACTCTCCTACTTTCTGTCTCTTACCTTCCTCTCTCTCTCTTACTCTCCTACTTGCTTTCTCTTACTTTCCTCTCTCTCATTCTCTCATTCTCTCTCTCATTCTCTCTCTCATTCTCTCATTCTCTCTCTCATTCTCTCTCTCTCTCTTACTCTCTCTTACTTTCCTCTTTCTCTCTCTTATTCTCCTACTTTCTTTCTCTTACTTTCCTCTCTCTCTCTCTCTCTCTCTCATATGTCCATTTCATTGTGTTACATGCAGATTTCCCTCAGTAATAGTATTAGTAGTCAGTGGCCCTTTATTGTTGTGAGCTTAGGGGCCCCATCACTATATGATTTCATGTATTTTGTCGATCATCAAACTGACAGAAAGATTTTATGAAGATATTGCAGATGAATTTGCACACGTCGCTTAAACACACTTCGTACGTTTGCTGTTTATTTACAGACACATACTTGTTGTTTATATATTGTTTCCCCGGCTTATCGTATCACTTTATTTTTATTTCTCTAGCATTTTTTCCTTTCTGCATAATTAAGGCTTTTAGATGTAAACAAAGTCATCCAGAGTGGTTTGATGTGAAACGCTCCATTTTTGTTCACAGTGGAGATGACAGGAACCAGACGTTTAATATCTCTTAAATCTGCCTTAAAAGTACTACAAGAAATTCTTACAAACCTATAAGACATCATTAAAAAAGCCATTTATGATGAAAAAATAAAAAGAAGGCGTTGTGCGGCAAAATGGTCCCTGGATTTCCCAAGATTTACCCCTATTTGACCACTGTCAGGATTACATTTAAAAATACAGATTCAAACAGGGCCATTTTGAATAGTATATAAAATGGCTATATTCGTGTTGTAGACATGGTGACCCCTGGTTCCTATCAGCACCACTGTAAAGACATCTGAGTCCGTAGGTTTCGCTACAGTGAACCACTGCACACCAAACCACTCTGAATGACTTTGTTTGCATAATCACAACTTAATTATGGAGAAATGTTAAAAAATCAGTAGAATTCTCCTTTAGGTGTTAATTCATTTTCATTCTTTCATACTATTGGAATGAGTCGGGGGAAACAGTCCTGCCAGTAGTAATAAAACCTCAATTTGCACAGTGACAGTCACCCTTGTTTGTCGTTTCCTGGGGTTCTGGTTACACACGTATGCAATACATACTGTGTACAATAATAGCAAATGAAAAATATAGACTCTTTTCGTCTGGCTGAGCTGGGAACTTTCTGTCGCTCAAGCTGTAGGTTTTGCAGCAACAGTAGATTTTCACAGTGAAGAAGGAAGCCCCCTCTTCTCTCTTTGTCCATGCATGATACACTAAACTAATGTCCAGAATAAATTTGCATTGACATGCAGTCAGCCCATTTCTTTCATAACTTATGCTTGCTTGGTTAAGTTGTTTTCTTAGCATAATGCTTTTATCTCATTAGTCCAGTTCCACAGCTAGTGAGGGGCCCAAGCACCTGCAGCGTCACCGCTAGTCTGGGGTCTAGTGAAGTCCATTTGCAAGCAGCATGTACTCATCTTTATCATGACATACCTATAGTTCATGGCAAAAAAAGAGCATTAAATACACCTCTAAGGCAGTGAGACCCAGCAGTCTACCTGCACTGCACAGTTTTACGCTTTCCTTCATTTGAGTCACATCACCAGCTAATGATCCGGTTATTATGGAGCTGATTTTGGAAGCAGAGGAACACCAAACTTTGCGCTGGTGGTGGGAAACACTGTTTAGATAAAGATTAAAACCAAATCTCTGTGTGCTGAAGCAACTGCCCACTGACTTTCATTATAAGCACACAAATAACTCTCTGGTCTGTGTAGTCAGTATATTGCTACTAAACTGCAAAAACAAACTGTTTTGAATTAACTGATTTTATGTCAAGAAGACCACCTCATTTGTATACATCGATCAACCATCTACACTCACTGTCCATTTTGTCAGCTCCACTGACCATACAGGAGCACTTTGTAGTTCTGCAATTACAGACTGTAGTCCATCTGTTTATTTGAAGACTTTGTTACCCTGTTCTTCAACGATCAGGACCCCCACAGAGCAGGTGTTATTTGGGTGGTGGATCATTTTCAGCACTGCAGTGACACTGACATGGTGGTGGTGTGTTAGTGTGTGTTGTGCTGGTACAAGTGGATTAGACACAGCAGTGCTTTTGGAGTTTTTAAACACCTCAGTGTCACTGCTGGACTGAAAGTAGTCCACCAACCAAAAATATCCAACCAGCAGCATCCTGTGGGCAGTGTCCTATAGAATGGACAGTGAGTGAACATGGTGCTTAAAAATTCCAGCAGCACTGCTGTGTCTGATCAGCTCGCACCAGCGCAACATACACTAACACACCACCACCACGTCAGTGTTACGGCAGTGCTGAAAATGATCCACCACCCAAATAGTACCTGCTCTGTTGGGGTCCTGACCACTGAAGAACAGAGTAACAAAGTATGCAGAGAAACAGATGGACTACAGTCTGTAATTGAAGAACTACAAAGTGCTCATATGCGCTCAGTGGAGCTGAAAAAAGGGACAATAAGTATAGAAACGAGGTGATTTTAATGTTATGGCTGATGTATATCTGCTGTTTAGCCTATAGCAGTTTTTGCCATCAACTCACACTGAACTTATAAAGAGTTTGAGCTTGACTGCTTTTTGAATTAAACAATGCAGGGCAACCAATTACAATAGAGCTCATGTATATAAATTTATCATTATTATGCTAGTGTTGTCTGAGCTTTGTTCTTATTAAATACTTAAATACTTTACAAGCCTTTTAACGAGGTTCAGTCTTTTTTCAGATAATAATCCACTTTTTCACTATATCACTGTAATTCTCTGTAAGGGCTGTGTTTGGACTCATTTATGCAGCATAGTTCCACATTTTGCCTCTTGTTTTGAGATGCATTTGTCATGTATTGGAGTTTGCTTTGAAAAAACAGTGGCAGATTTTCTTTTTCTCCATGCTCACTGCTCTCTTTTGGGACCTCATCCTCGAGGGAGTGGTTGTTTATGTACCTGCTGCTGTGTTGTGTCTTTGCTTGTAACTTTTTAAATGGCATGACAGTATAAAACAAACACAGCATTTTGACTCTCTGCCCTTTTGTGGTAGGATTGTTGTCATGTTTCAAATACGTGTCACGAGAGGACAGAGCACAGTGGTATATACTGGTAGTAACTGTGTTTATATAATATATCTTACTGATGTGGAACTCGTGTACATGTTTGTACAGTCGCAACTGAGTGCTTCACTTTTCAGAGAACTAGGGCCAGCCTGGTTTACACAACAGAGCTCCACTTTCACCAGCATAGGTACATAAAAGGCATCTGTACTCCTGCCGTCGAGTTGAGACTCTGCTGCACAAAGCCGAGAGGCTCTTAGCGCAGATGATCCACTTTGACGTCGCTGAGTAGGCACAGCCTCTCAGAAGGAAAGGGATCATTGGTTGGGCACAGCTTCTGTTATGTGTCACTCATCTAGGTTTTAACCAAAGATTGACAAAATAATGAGTGTGAGAAACACCAAAGTTCTACCTTGTTTTGTGAATTGCTCTCACCTGTAGAGCCGTATCTGTCCTGCCTTTCATTTGCCCATCATCCTCAGCACAGAGCGATAAATGCTGCAAATTCCAGAACCGCAGGACTCTGAACTCCAAATCTTCATTCTGAGGCCTTTCCCACATAACAGGGCCTGACTAATTTAAAGGTTTTGTAGCTAATACTGATAGTAGGGGCTAAAGATTATAATAACTGATAATAATTCATTTTGTAACTGATAATAATAATAATAATAATAATAATAATAATAATAATAATAATTCATTTTGTAGTTTCAGTTACAGTAGTTTCCCGCAGCACTAAAACAAACCTAGGGGAGGCACCATAGGTGGGATGGGGAAGGTTAGCTAAATATATGAATACAGATGTGTTTTTAATTTTTTAGATGTGAAGCGCTCAGAGGAGAACATTTGGCACATTATTCTTTATCAAATAACCTGGCTTTGTTCAGTGCAGACAGATGAAAACTGACAAAATATGCATGTAGGCCAATTAAAAGGGGCCACATCCTACAATTTTTCTATTATTTTATTTTATATTACTTAAAACATTCCCAGCCTCTTTTTATGTTTGTTGTATGTGTAGCTCATCTCCCTCTCTCTCTGTCTGTTCTGTTCCTTTAGGCCGCAGAAGGTCGCGAGTGTACCGTCCACGTGCTCCAGTATTCGAGGAGAAAGATGTCCCCCCTCTTGACCTTCCAAAATCCTCAGATGACCTACTGGTCCCAGCGACGCATCTCCTTACCGCGGCCTCAATCTACGAGGTGCTGCGGAACTTCAGCTCGGTTCTGCGTCTCTCACCATTTCGCTTCGAGGACTTCTGCGCCGCCGTGTCGGGACAGGAACAGTGTACCCTGCTGGCCGAAACACACATCGCCCTGCTGAAGGCCATACTGCGCGAGGAGGACACCTCCAACACCAGCTTCGGCCCCACCGACCTGAAGGACAGTGTGAACTCGACGCTTTACTTCATGGACGGGATGACGTGGCCTGAGGTGGTCCGGGCTTACTGCGAGAGTGACCCGGAGTACCATCACGTCCTGAAGTTTCAGGATGGAGAGGACTATCCCTTCGAACCACTGGAGAGCAAGCTGAAAGGTAAGGGCATGTGTTTGTGCAAGTGTGTTTGTAGAGATATGGTACGTTTTCATTTAAGGGGTTTGTATTATATTAAAATGCTTTTGATCTCTTAAAAAAATGTACTGACGTCTTCACGCAGTTCATAGAGTCCAGCCAAGGAAACTAAGCAGCAAAAGCAACCACCTTTATTTGTGTATTTATTTATTTATTCACTAACCATGGTTGTGATGTCACTACCATGTAGGAGTCTACATTCTGAGGGGACTTTAAAAATGTGATGCAAGGCTAATTTACAGTGTGGTGCACGGGAGAAGGCGGTTAACCAGTGCAGTGCGACGGACAGTGAGACGGCACATAGACGTACAGAAATCCCACAAATTGAAGAATGGCCTTACTAATAGGATAACAATCACTTAATAATTTACTTAAAAATCGCTTAAAAATGTCTAACAGCGAAATATCAGAAACTCCTTGTGGAACTCAACAACCATGAACACATTTTAAAGGGGATTTCCATAAATTTTTCTGTGTAACTCAGTGATTGAGAGATAAAGTCTGTGGAGTCAGTGGTTTCTTGTAGAGAAATTTACTGACTCATATTTCTTTACGGTGGTGATGATAGGAACCAGCATATCTACAGCACGTGTAGCCATTTTATTCATTTTCAAGAAGAACCACTGAACCTTCATGTGTCTTCAGAGTTTTATTTGTAATGTTAATGATGGTAAAATAGTGAAAAGTTTTCCTCAGGGACTGTTTTGCTTTAGAACTCCCTGCATTCTCTCGGCCATATTTTAAAAAATAGGTTTAGGCAAAAACCTCCTTAGAACTCCTGTAAAACAATGTCTCTGCACCAGGCTGTGTATTCATAACCATTTCATGTGATAACCTACGGTGAGAGAGCTTTTAGAAGCAGTAAACTCTCCAGACGTCTGGTTCACCATCACTGTAAACAGTTTGATTCTGACTATCACAGAGCATAGCATTTCAAACCACTCTGAATGACTTTGCTTGCATGCTAAATGTTTAATTATGAAGAAAACTCTGTGGCATCGTTAGTGAGAGTCCTATCTTGGGAATACGGTCAAAAGCTGCACATTTTATCACCTTGTTTTGATATTAGTATGCTTAAGAACCTTTCTGGTGTTTAAACCATCTTTGGGTCAAAAGAGTTTGCAAAAGAAATCTGTACAATCATTATTTAGGAAAAATCTGTGCTCAATACCAAGAAAGACACTTAAACGAAGAATGTAAGTGTTGAAGATAGATATACCCAAAGAATTAGCACAGGGCTGCTTAATGCTAACTAAACCTTTGCAGGTATTTTTTCCTGCTTAATTAAAAAGTAACAGTAAAAAATAATTACTAGTCTGTAAAATGTTCTCAAATATTTGATGCTCAATGTATGTGAATGAAAATTTCAGATTCAGAATTGGAGATAATTAGATGACCACTCACGTCCACAGTTCTCAGTACAGATTCATGGATTAGTTTGTGAATTCATTTCTTCTGGACCTTCTCTCTGTAGTGCTGCAGTTCCTGGTGGATCAGTTTCTGGCCACTAACCTGGCGCGGGAGGAGCTGATGTCAGAGGGTGTTGTTCAGTATGATGACCACTGTCGCGTGTGCCATAGCCTGGGTGACCTGCTGTGTTGTGAGACATGTTCTGCTGTGTATCATCTGGACTGTGTGCGGCCGCCGCTGCGTGAGGTTCCAGAGGAGGAGTGGCAGTGTGAGGTGTGTGTAGCTCACCGGGTGCCAGGTGTGTGCGACAGCGTTACGGAGAGTCAGAAGACCCGCCCCTACTTCCGGCAGGAGCCAGTTGGATTTGATCGCCACCGCAGAAAGTACTGGTTCCTTACACGCAGGATCATAGTGTAAGTTAAAAGTCTTTAGGCAAAACCAACATAAAGTAATGATAATTCTTCACACACTGGATAAAAATCGAGAAACAAGTGCTGGAAATTAATTCTTATTTATTTGTTTGTTTGTTTGCTTGTTTATTTAACTTTTTTGTGCCATTGCACAATTTTTGTGTTTTTGATACACTGTTTGAGCGCTCTAGCAGTGACTGGTGCGGAGAGCAGTAGAAACAGTGCTTCCTAAAACACATGCTGCCATAGTAAATAGTAGGGCTGCGCAATATGGACATACATATGGTGTTCTGTAAAGCTGTTGGATATCATGATGACAATATGAGAAGTGATAAATTACTATTCACTATTGGGCAAAATAAAAATAATGAAATTCTAATAGTTACGTTAGAGCTGCAAGCACATTTTGTCCACTAAAGGACTAAGAAACAGTCAGCATTTCTTGAAAAACTATTTATAAAGACTTTTCTGTAACGTTTTTCTAAAACAAGCAAACAAGTATATATTTTACTTATCCGTATAGGCCCAAAACAATGAATAAATATATTTAATTCCTTAATTAGCACCATTATAGTATACAGCAAACATACATTTGTTGTGACAGAAGATATTACTACTTCACCCACTTTACACTCAACCCTGTGAAAATAATAACCACCTCATTTTATGTGTGTTTTGTAACTGAATAGAGCAGAGAGAACATGGTTCAAGCCCAGTACAGGGAAGCGTTGAGATTCTAATGCTGTTTCCTAACAATCTAATTACGCTGCTCTGGTGCTGCATATGTGAGGTATTTTGAATTGTTCTGTCATCGCAGCTCTTAACAATGTGTTTATGGCAGAAACTCATATCACCATAACAAAAATGTAATTTATCATACAGTTCTACTAAATTGTATGTTAAAGTAGCAATAGCAGTGCATTCTGCAAAGTGTTATGTTACTATGTGGTTTTGGACACAACCACTGTCTTTTAACCACTGTTTCTGATTGAAATAATTTGGGAATTGCTATGTTTTGATGCTGTTTTAGGCCTATATAATGGTAAAGAATATGGTTGTTGGAGAGTGTTATCATGTTCTCCCCTATTCACAACTGTTCAGTAGCCTTTTTTTTTTGGTAAACATAGCATTGTTTGATGCAAAAGCCCTACGCTGTTTAACACTGTGTCTTAATGGCAACAGCAAAACCAAAAAGCTCCCGTTATAATCAATAAAGCTAGAGAGAAGCAACTGGTGAGTTTCTAAGACCCTTTTATTAAACAATTTACAGAAAAATGGCCAAAGTGCTGTAAGTTAGATCTGAATTCTGTTGTCTCACTCATTGAAAAGGATACTTACCTATTTGGCTAAATAGACTTACAAGTTAACAGATACAACTGAGATGCCCAAAACATAAGACCAGGGTGGTTTAATGCTATTTTTCACTTTGTTATTAAGGCTACTGAAATTGTTTACATTCTGACACTTGACGTTTTCGGTGTAGACATCCTGAATGCTTTGGAACTCCGTGCTGTGCTACATTTGGACGCTCGCTTGCTTTTTAAGGACTTCTGTTATGTAACACAAAAGGAATTCAGCAGCGGCCGCAGGACACCACACAGTAGATCATGCTGTACATTGTGCTTAACTGATTTCACATGTCAAGGTCGTGCCTTTTCATGTGCTCACCAGTTAATGATGTCGTAATTCACAAGCATCACGCATCAGCATCATTTTATCATCTCATCATCCTGTCCCTTTTCTCCTGCAGTGAGGAGGATGGAGAGCATGAGAACAAAACGATCTGGTATTACAGTACGAAGGTGCAGCTTGCGGAGCTGCTGTGTGCGCTGGATAAGACCAAATGGGAGAAGCAGCTGTGCCGCATGTTGGAGGAGCTGCGGGAGGAGATCCACGCACATATGGACATCACAGAGGAGCTCACCAACAAGGCCCGCGGCAACAACAAGTGCTACCTCACTGCTGCTAATGGTAAGAGCTGTGAGAACCCAACCTGCTCTCAGATCAGTTGGGGTGTGGATGTGACGCTAAGGAATAGTGGTGCGTTAAAATTTTTTTGGCTGAAAAAATTTTGAAGGCTGTAATTTTGGTGAATTCCTGTTTCTTACCACCACATCCACACAACAGGTTCAAGATGAAAAGATTACATTTTGAAAATAAAACTTTACATCTCTTTCCCGTTTTTAAACGCCGGTAACAAAATATTAACAGGTATGACACCTTGAAAACACCTTGATGACAATAAGAAGAAGCGGTTAAAAAGACAAAAAGTTAAGAAAATATTCCACGTTGCCCTGAATTTTACATTTGGCCAAGAATTTTAATTTTAGTGCTTACTGGTAGGGAATGTTTGAGGTTGTATCCAATCCAATTCAATGATTAGGTTGAGGTTAGGGTTAAGATTAGGTTTTGGGTTGAGGTTAGGGTGAGGATTAGGGCCAGGATTAGGGTTAGGTTTTGGGTTGAGGTTGAGGTTAGGGTTAAGATTAGGTTTTGGGTTGAGGTTGAAGTTAAGGTTAGGATTAGGTTTTGGGTTGAGGTTGAGGTTAGGGTTAGGATTAGGGCCAGGGTTAGGATTAGGTTTTGGGTTGAGGTGAAGGTTACGGTTAGGATTAGGGCCAGGGTTAGGGTTAGGTTTTGGGTAAGGTTGTTAAGGTTCAGTTTTGCGTAATGAAAGTAACTTCACTACTGCCACTTCACTGATATGTTGTTGATGTGTTACTGATAATCTGTTAAGAGTTTATTAATCATCCATAAAGGATCACTCCAAATAAAGGGTTACCCTAAATTGAATGATTAGTTGAGGCACTCTCTCTGTAAAGGAGTGTGGGATTCTAACCCTCTCTCCAATAAGCATTCAGATACAGTGAAAGCCAAGATTAGGAACTCCCTGTATTTAGATTGTTATTGGAGTAATGTCCACATTTACGACCCAAAGTATTTAGTGGTGAATGAAGTGCAGTTATTTATGGCTCTTTTTGAAGTGCCTTCTTTTCTTTCCTGGTGATCTTATCTCTGTCCTGTTGAGAGGTTGTTCTGATCCTTATCAGTCTAAACCACATCAACATTATTTCACAACAGTCACAGAGGAATCCGAGGTGTGCGCTGTAGTTTAGGCTGCAGTGTAGAGCTGCCACTGTGTGTTGCTTAGAATGTAAAAGGTGTACAGGTGTAAAAGTGAAAACTGGTGTTACATTGTTCTGTTACATGGATTTTACCATATTGTACATATTATAACAAGCTGAAAAAGTCATAATAATTTGTTGCTTGGTTGATTTGATCTGTATTTTGAGCTATAGTACAGCATTTTATAGGCTTGGCATTGGAGCTGGTGGTCATGTGGATTGGATGAATTTATAGGGGCACTTATTGGGGAATTCCACCAATTTTTAAAAATTTCTGAATAATTCAGGCTTTTAGATGTAAATAGTCATTCAGAGTGATTTGATGTGAAATGGTCCATTGTAGAGAAACTTACTGATTCACATTTCTTTACAGTGGTAGTGACAGGAATGAGGGCTCCCTATGTATACAATACATGTATAGCCATTTTATTTACTATTCAAAATCACCAGTGAACCTATGTGTGTCTACCGAGTTTTATATGTAAATGTTAATGATGGTAAGATAGTGGTAAATCTGAATTGCCTCACAGTGTACCCCTGCCATGAATGGATTAAAATAAATGAATTTAAGCCAAACTTTAATCATAAAACAGTGTGTCAGACATCAGGCAGCATATACCTAACCATTTCATTTAACAGTTTTCTGTGAGGGAGCTTTTGGAGGCATTAAACTCTTCAGACATCTGCTTCCCATCACTACCACTGTGAACAATCCTAACTGTAAGTTTCTATTGTAAGGAGCATTTCACACCAAACCACTCTGAATGACTTTCTTTTACATCTCAACCCTTTAATTACGCAGATTTTTTTGAAAAATCAGTGTTCCCCTTTCATAGCTGTTCTGACTGAAAATTAAATATGTAAAGGCAGTTTAGCAAGACAGCTTTCATCAGCAAAGGCCTTCAGTGTCTTAAGTGTAGCCTAAACAAAGCAGTTGCTTGCCCAGTCTTTGTGTTGGGTGAGTATACTGTCCAGTGTGAGGGATTTTGGGTTAAATTGTTGTTCTTTCTACCATTCAGCCGATGCATTCCTTGGAAAAGTGAGGGAAACGGGTAGTGCATACGCTCAGCATGGTATCCTCTCTGTTTGTCATGGTAATACTCTTATCATTAATAGAGTCCCCCCACTGCCCCCTCTGTCTGCTTTGTGCTTTGTCCCTCCCTGATAATCACCCCTCCCACCACACACACAAACACAGTGAAAGCAGTGACTTAGTTGAGGATTAAGGAGGTCATAGTGTGTGTGTGTGTGTGTGTGTGTGTGTGTGTGTGTGTGTGTGTGTGTGTGTAAAAGAAAGTGTTTTCGTACTTTTTTAGGACAAAAGTGTCCTCACTGTGTAGGACAACCAGAGAAATGTTGTCAGGAGCAACAAAATGATTATGACTTTGTAATAAATAAATCATTTCTTTAGTTTTTGACATTAAGATTAGAGTTAGGTTAAGAATACTAATGTAATAGTAGATATACACTAGCACTGACAGTTTGAAATTACTGTTTGCAGTAAAAAAAAAATCATGTAAATGTGCAAAAGGATTTTATTATGAGTCTACTAGTCTACAGCTTGACAGATTTCAATTAATTAGTAGAAAGCTGAAAATTGTAATGTTACACAGCTGTACAGATATTTCTAATTTTTCAGAAAGCAGTATGACGTTAAAAATGAAGTTCTAAGAAAATAATATCCTAATTCCAGAATGCATAGCTTATCAAGAAATTACAGTATATTATTTATCCTTTAATAACTTCTTGGTGTCTCAAAAGCTCGAAAAGAAAAATCTTGAAATACTTTCTGATATCTAGCTGGTAGTATTTAAATCTGCACTGTATAAGTTAAAATTAAAAAAGTGACAGCAGTTTTTAATGTCACAAGTGTTTAAAACCATTTTCTGAACACAAGTGTAGGTACCAAACCTTTTCATGCATGGGGAATAATTATTACATACAAGTAGACAGGTAGAGACAGTTGATGTATGTCATACACTTGTATCTAGAGTTTGGTGCCCTGGACAAATTACATGTTTTGCTGATTTTCCTGAGAATAAAGAAAAATTTGCTGAGAAAAAAGAAAAACGTTCTGATGTCCTCTACAGAGAACACACTTCTGCACAGTTTAATGCACAACTACTGTTTATTAGCTAAATTTAACAAATTGCAGACAAAAAAATGTGGCCTGTGCAAAAGTTAATGGCAAATTGTATTGTGTGTGTATATATATGTACACACATGCAAATATATGTGTGTTAAACTTGAAAGTGTGCACTAAAATGTGCCATATTTAAGTATTTTAAGTATGCTCAATAGAGGATGTGTTGACTTTTCACTTAGAAAATCAGCAAAACATATATTATTTGATTTGGGGTGTTCAATCTTTTACAGATTGATGTAAAATTTCATAATAAGGTAAAAAAAAAAACAAATCTGTGTGGCGTAGTCTGATTCAGGCAGTAGGAGTGCTGCAACTCTATCAGTCTATCCGAAGAAGATCTACCTGCCAGACAGAGACTCAGTGCCTTTTTAGAGACAGTAGAAACAGCTAGGATGGAGAAATGAGATCCTGCAAGCATAAGAACCCAATAGCCATGGGATCAAAATGGACAGAATGAAAAAAGAGAGCGTGTCTGGAGAGCAGCCAGGCTGGAACTCTTCAGTACCGAGGTGAAGGGGGTTAAGCATATTGTCACTGTCCAAAGGAAAATGTCTCCATTTTTGTTGATTTTTACTTGAACATCACCTTTATATCGTGTGAAAATTTCATGATATCAGTAGAAATACTCCCAAATCACTTGAAATAAAAACCTTTTTTACATTAAATTACATTAAAAGTTAATGTTTTTGCATTCTTCTGTAAAATTCCTATGTTGGAGATACATGGCCGCAACGATATGACAATACATGAGAAGTAAACTGAATACGGTAATTTTTTATGTTGAAAAATAGCCTGTGAATGTTATTTTGGCCAAAGACAAGCTTAAAAATGTATCTCTTCATGCATCCATGCATCAAGGTGTGTTTTTAGACCACTCAGAACGACAGTATACAAAGGTATGAAATTGATATCAAGATATTAATTGGCAGGTCAACAGTTCACAGTGCAATAAACATGGCCTGGTGCTGTGGGAGAAGCTGCCACTGCCCCACTGTCCACATTATGAAGTTCATGCTGTCCTGATACTTATGCTTTATTGTTGTAAATGCATTTTGAAACTGCAGGAGGAGGATGAACAGAATTAAATAAAACTTTATCATTTTCTCTTTTTCAGAGGAGATCCTGGAGCGTATAAGGGCCAGACAGGAGGAGGAGATGGAGGAGGTAAAGAGGAGGGCAGCAGAGGAGCTGGAGAGACTGAAGAAGGAAGAAGTGGAGGTTGAGCCTTGCGCAGCTGAGGAGGAGGAGTCGGAAAAGCCTGTGGATGAATCTCCACAGACCCAAACAAGCACTGAAGAGGCCACCCCTACAGGTAATGAACCAATACATTAGTTATAAATTAGACAGTATAACTGTGGCCTCTTACGTAGGGCTGGACAATTAAAATATATGGTATATCGTGATACTTGGACATTACCACAGTAAATGATGCATAATGTGCTGCACTAAATCCAATTAACCATGTAATACAACATGCAGTAGGTCAGTGTCCTTTATGTAAATTTCTTCAATATGCTCAGAAATGCGTATTATCACTCAAGCAAAATTTATCACAATAACAATCATATTGCTTACTGTTACTCTCATGGTCTGACACTCTTATGGCTCTTTCAGTTTTTTTTTATTTAGTGCAGTTATTCTGTAAATTTAGATGATCTTGCATTGTACATTTGTGGATAACATCTAGCTAGCTAACTTAACATTCAACTCATGGGGTTGTTCATGTGGTCATTTGAGTCCTTGAAACAAGAAAAACAGTATATGTGACATTTTTTTGTAAAAAAAAATATAAGCATAGTAAACAAATTAATGAATGACTTTGTGTATAAGTTGATTTTCTCTATGGGAAAAATGAATATTTTCAAAAATTGCACCTTGTGATGAACGAAAGTGTTCCAAAGCTGATATGCTTTGCTGTGCACATACTTTTTCCTCTGAATGTCAACAGTTGTCAAAAAACAAGTATTGCTCCATGTAACCTAACAGTGCTACACACGGAGCAGAGATTGTAACAAATGTGACCTCACCAAAATACTGCAGCAGGCTCTGTCAGCTGTTTTAGCAATAGTAGTTTACAGTTTGAGAAGGTGGTGTTGGTATATAACAGTGTTGAACAGCTTGCTTGTAGCATGAATGCAATAGTATTTATATTTCAACTACATAGTGACCTCATTAAGAAAATTAATTCAGAGGTTCTGGTGATATTCCAAAACATACGAAGGAAAAAACTCGGTTTGAAACATCTTTGTTTACCACAGGATGCGATATCAGCAGTTTTTGAAAACCCTGTTCATTTTTGCCATAGAGAAAAACTGCTTAGACCCGGCAGTTTCCTAATATGGTCATGATACCAACTACAAACTGATGCGCAACTTCAAAGCTCTAGTGTCATTTGCATACTTAGGTTATGTGTAGGTTATGTTTCTGTCCTTGCTTGGCTCATCAGCATGTGTTCCTCTGTAGCTGAGGTGCCCTCTGGTGGTGCAGTGAAGCACTGCAATTCAGAGTCCCTCAGTCCAGGGGACTCTGGGGCCTCCGCCCCTCGACTAGCGGAGCCCTCTGGGTTAGCTGCAGTCACTGAATCTCAGCAGAGCTCCAGAGACCTGGAGGATCTGCCTGTGACGGCAGGTATGGCACAGAAAAACGACGTACTTATCTGCTGATGTGCTTTTAGTGCATGGATACATCCACTGCAAACGGCAACACTGCATCATCATTTGCTTCCTCTAGGGGTGCACTGATATCAGACTTTTAAGAGAATTCAAATCTGGGGATTTTGTGGGCCAGTCCAGATGTGTGAGCGCTCCTGAATGTTCATCATGCCAGTCAGTCACATTCGCAGCCTGTGAACATGATAATTGTCATCTTGAAATACAGAGATTGGAATGTTATGTTCCTCACTAAGATGAGGTTGTCCAGCAGCTCAGTGTAAGCACTTCGGTTCAAATTTACTGTCACCTCCAGCAAAGGACCCATTTCCATGTAATTAAAACACTCCCAGAACATCACAGAGCTTCTCCAGCTTGAACCACACCTTGCACACAGTCCTCATTAAAGGCTTCCTGAGGTCTACAATGAACACGACGCCCAGCATCGTTCACATACAGGCAGAAACAAGATTCATCTGACCAGATAACACATTTCCAGTCATGAACAGTCCATTTTTTGTGTCTGTTCGCCCACTGTAACCGGAGCCTGAAGTTACTATCACCTTAAACACGCAATGTGACTATTTTTTTTGTCCGGGGGGCTTATTATTAAATCAGATGTGACAATTATAGTCAGTAATTAGCTGTATGTATTGGCACTGGTGTTAATGACATTCCCAGATTTATTTTACGTGGGGCGCTTATATATCGGGCACCCCTAGTATCTTCATCTTTTGGATTCATGTGCTGCGTTCATGCCCTCATTCATTCACCTGCTTGTTTGGCCTGCTTCACTGTCTGTAAGATGCACATTACAAGTTCTATCATGATTGCTGTGTCTTCTTTCACTCTGCATTCTCCAGCTTGTGTCATTTAGAAGCAAAGAGTTTGCATTACTCTCTGGGGTTCTTTTTATTCGATTTAGAGCTAAAGTGCTTTTCAGTAACTTGCAGTCAAGCTTCATTGTGAGTCAGATATCAATACTGCGGCTTCAGTTTCACTTCAGTGCTCGAAATGGTTCTCTGTTCTGTTTAAGGATGTGACAGTTTCAGGAAAGTATCTGAACATCAAAGACAATTAACTATATAAGCAATACGCACATCACCTCTAAGTATCTCATTGATTCAGATTCAAACTTGCAAAAAAAAGAAAAAGTAATGTGGTTAATGTTTAAGTAATGTTTAATGTTAGACTCAGCATAGATTCTGCACATTTTTTGATTGTGCTTTGTGACGTTAATGTTAATATAAAAATTTTTTTAACATTTTGAAAATGGAGACATGCTGCATGAGATGTAATATGGGGCGGATTAGGATTTTGTAGTGTTTTTAAAGTTCAGCTCTGAAATCAGTTTTGCATGATACTTTGTAATCTTTTGTTTTGAAGCAAAATTTCTATTTTTTTTGAGCCAAACTAATCTGTATAGAAATCAAGGCTTTTAACACATGAAAGACTGAAAATCAAATCTTGATCGCAGAATCGCATCAAACCTGAAAATATGTGTATGTGTTACACGCCTACTCTCTACTCAGTCTTTCTCTCTGTCTTTGCTTTCTTGCTCAGTGGTTTTCTTTGCTCTCTGCATCATTGCAGTGAAAATGATGTATGCTTTGCGTTCACTGCTACTGCTAACTGCTGCCAAATCAGGTCATTAGCAATATGTGGCTAAAATGAACTGATTGCTCCAAGTCAACTGTTGCTGCACCACTGTACATGCTGTGTGTGTGTGTGTTTATAGACGTTAGTGTAACAAGATTTTTTCCCAAGCAATTTTGAACTGTTTCTTTTGGTCTGTTTATCATTAAGTTTTAACACAGTGCAAAGGGAGTTTTCAAATTATGCAAAAAAAGTAAAAATCAACAAAATTGGAGACACAAGGCTTTTGTGAGACAGTGACGATTTACATTTGTAAATTAAAGAAACATTTTATTAAGTTGTTTATGTTTCTACAGCCTTTATTTCATTACATTCATTACTTCATTATTTTGTGCCTTGTTGTTGCATCCATTTATTTTGCCTCCTCTCCTTGCTCCTTTTCTGAGCCCTGAGCAGATCATAATACTTCAGTTTTCCTACTTTGTAGTAATTTTAAATAGGGGCTTATACCTGTAATTATCACTGATTATTTTCAACTAACTGATTCCAGTTTCTAATAGTAAGTCATTTGAATTAGTGCCTCCACTTGGATTGTTGCTGAAATCAAGACTAGTTTTTCTGATTTCACACCATCCAAAATCCAAAAAGTTTTTTAGTTGCACAGCTAGTGGCTCAGAGTTTTGTCCTTTCTTTACTAATTAGTGTTGACAACTATAAAAGTAGTGATTTTTTTTTTGTTTTGATTTGTTGGTTCATCAGCAAATAGTACTGGTGCACCCCCACCTCTTTTTTTCCAGGCTCAGCCTACCGTCTACCATTTTGTCTCCCTCTAGATAAGTCCTTAGGTTCCGGTACTGATGCTGGGGAGGTGGTCGCCTCACTGCGGACCCCCCAGACAGCCGATGAGAGCAGCAGAAGTAGTCTGAGTAGGATGGATGATCCGGACGGTGCAGAGAAGGCTTCCGTATCCAGCCAGGAGGAGAAGGGTGAGTCAGTTCATTTCTATTGCAAAGAAAATCTGCACATCTCGTAGGTGCAGACCACTTCCTTCTTGTTGGGAGTACTATTTTTTCAAGAATGCAGTAGATTCAAATAATGGAAAATAGAAGAACTGCCCATTTCTGCTATTAAACCCAGTCTGACTCACAGGGCTTTATTATTTATCACTTGAACATCTGCACTTTGCCTTTTTTGTTGGGTGTCTTGGCATGTTTCTTTGTGGTTTTTGTACTTAAAATCCAAATGTGTGTGGGTTGCAGCAGTTGTACACATGCATGACCTCATCAGTCCACCATCCAGCTATAGGAAAAAACAATCTGAAGTGTCTGGACAAGTGAATGGTGGTGAATTGGAGTGAATTTCTTTATGTTTATGTTTGCAGGCGAGGGGAAAGAGAAGAGCATTGGAGAGACACCATTTGGAGTGAAGGGGGCAATGACAGCCACACGCATGGTCACTCGACTGAGGAACCCAGACAGCAAACTTAGTCTGCAAAAGAGCCAGCAGGTGGCAGCAGCGCTACATGAGGCCAATAAGGGATACAAGGAGGGAAAAGAGGTGATCACAAACAGCCATTGGTACTGTTGTTTATAATGTTTCTCTAAAAACAGGAATGTCCAACTTAGTCCACATTCCATGCTTTTCCTCAAAAACACCTGTTTTAACTCCAAGATATGTTTGAGCAAGAACATCTGGAAAGTGTGCTGGACCGAACCTGTAGGACCAGAACAGGACACCTGTGCTGTAGAATTAAAGTCCTCTCCTCTCTTCTGTTGTCTTGCCCTCTCCTCAGGTTCTGGTGGTAAGCCAGCAGGGAGAAGTTGCCCGTCTGAACCCACGCAACTCCAAAGACCTCGTCATGAAGGGCTCGCTGGGCTCATTCTTCCGCCTGGGTCAGGAGGGCAAGTACCGGGTCTATCAGAACCAGTACAGCACTAACGCTCTAGCCCTCAACAAGCACCAGCATCGAGAAGACCACGACAAGCGCAGACACCTGTCGCACAAGTTCTGCATGACCCCTGCTGGAGACTTCAAATGGAACGGCTCTGTGCATGGCTCCAAGATGCTGACCATCTCTACGCTGAGGCTGACCATCATCCAGCTGGAGAACAATGTCCCAGCACCCTTCCTGCACCCCAATTGGGCCTCTCACAGGTGTGGAAGTTAAGTAGCTTTTACTATCACTAGCCTAGCCTCCAAAACTGTTCTAGTTTTGAAGTTAAAACATTAGTAATTTGTATTGATTGGCCAAGACTGTACAAAAAAGTTTAGATGTTTAATTTTATAGTGTTTTTGGCCAGAAAAAAAATGTGCTTTGTGCACACATGACCAACACGGAACCTCTTGCCGTACCTGGCCAGTATGAAAGGCTACATTGACTAACATGAGCATTAGCTGTGAAAAAAGTGCAAAAGTTACCACTACTGCCTAATTTTAGGGCTGATGCAAATGTGCGAATATTGATGGTTAAAACCACAGATATGTGGTACACAGTAATACACTCACAATATTTAGGATTGTTTCGTTTTGTGTCAGAAGGGGCCAACAAAGCCCAAGACAGTTTCACACTGAGTCAGTTTTGAACACATGCACATTACTACGAAGGACATCTTTTTTGTCAGAAGTTGTGGTAGCTCCTGTGGTTTATTCACTCCTTTCAAAACTTGGAGCTCAAGCTCCATCTCATAGCACTGCTGCGGAGCTCCACCGAGAATCTGTGGCAAACTTCTTTAACAAAATGGGGGGTTACCCAGTGTCTGGGTCTAGGTCGCACTAGCTAAAAGAAAAATGAAAACTCAATTGTAACTTATTCCTCGGAGAAACAATTTCCTCTCCCTCATTATTAATTAATTTATTTAAAGGTTAGTGGTCAGGTGATCAAGATTACTTGCTGGCCTGCCCACTAATTTCTATGCTTGTGGAATCACTGAACTGTTAAAGTGCTAGTGAAAATACCCAACAGAACTGCAAAAGGGAATTTATCAATACCATTTTTTTGAGACAGACCTTAATAGTTAAATTAGTATCTAGCTGATTTTAAAAGACGTGCATTAGCTAAATTTGTTACATTAATTAGAGAAGAGAGCAATCGAAAAGCACTTCTCTATAGCTGTAAGTAAAGTATGGTTCATAGTTTTGATCCCTGCTCCACATCTGTTGCTCTTAGCAACAGTCTCTGTAGAGTTCGAAGCTCACGTTTCGAGTTTTACATCTTGTTGGAGTCTTTTTGGCTGGTTGAGCTGTAGTTGAATGTCCTCTAAAACAAGATATACACCATTGAATTTTAGACATCTTGTTCTTTGGTGACTCACAGTGTACATTTGAATAGACCATTGTGTATGGACAAATCCTATGATTTACATTGTCTGACAGGTTGTGCTAATCTGGTTCTGTGTTTTTATGTTTCCTCTCAGAGCTAATTGGATCAAGGCTGTGCAGATGTGCAGCAAAGCGAGGGAGTTTGCTCTGGCTCTAGCCATCCTGGAGTGCACCATCAAACCAGTGGCCTTGCTGCCTGTGTGGAAGGAATCACTGGGACACACACGGTAAACCTTACTGAGAGGGTCATCGGCGCCTTCATTAGTGAAATTTAAACCCTGAACACATATCTGAGAGTTCTGTGCAGTGACAGTGGGATCTCGTGTTGTTCTAAGACACAAATTAATTTGCCATGACTGTTGGCTGTGTAGCTGGCAATGTAGCTAGCTAAAGGGGGGTCCACACTGAGAACCTGGGAATTTTTTCATTTAAACCTGCAAATAAAAACAGAAGGATCTGAATTTTAAAAAGTTTACAACAAAGAGAAGTTATGAAGAGTAAAATAAAGAAGAACTTTTCAAGAAAAGGATTGTGCTGTTTCTAAGTCACTACTCAAATTTAAGCAAATTTGTAACATTGGTCATTTTAAGACTTTTTTGTCCAGAAAGGTCAGTGTTTTTAATCTTATCTCTTCTATTTAGGTTTATGTTTAGATGAATCTCAGGTGCATTTCATCTACTCATCAGAGACTTGCAAAGATTTGTGTCCAGCTTGAGTGCACACTGTTACTAAAGCAAAAGACGGACGTACAGGACTAAATACTAAGAAATTCTAAATTTGTATTCAAATTTTAAAGATTTTTCTTTTTTATTATTACTAATATAATTATAATATATATGTAATGAAGAAGGTTTGTAGTAAATTAGAGAAATATACAAAATGGAAACACTTACATGAGTTTTGGGGGATGTCCAAATAAAATATGAAAATTATAACCAGTCAAAATGAGCGTCTAGCTGGCAATCCATTGCAAAAATTTGGTGATAACCCCTTAAACATGTATAAATCTGCCTCCAGAGGAGTCACAACACAACACGTGCATGTTAAGTGTTTTCTGTGAGCTGCTGTGTTTATCACTGTATAAAAGATGCACAAGACTTCTTTTATTGTTAGATTGCTCATTCAGAGCAATTTTGATTACTAAGTGCTTATAAAAATTACTGATTTCTTAATTCAGAGTAACAACAATGTGACTAATGTATTAAGTATATTCATGTTGAAGTGTTTATTTGTTTACAAATATAATACATAAAAAGCAGGGACTGTTCGGTTTTGTTAGATCGTGTTCTCTACATATCAAATAAGTGAACGACAGCATTCAGAAATCACTTTATTAAACAAACGGACCAGATTAAACAGCAAATATAGTCACAATTTTGTTCGGCCTTAAAGGGTTGAACTTCAGCTAAATTCCTTACACAGTGCGGTGCATTTCACTGTATGTTTATGGTACTGCTGTCACCATCAGGTGAGAGGAAAAACTACAACGTGCTGGCTGGCAGCTCAATTATGACCACCTTAAAACAGAATCTATGGGGTAATTAAATACCCTGGGGTGCATTTGGTCCCAGGGCCAGACTTTGGACACTCCTGTACTAGTGGTCTCAGAATTTTTGAGATAAGCACCGGTGCGTTCACAATTATCAATCAAATAGTTTGTTAATCAAGACTATCCCTCATAAATGAGAGAGATGATTACCTAATTTTACCTAGACAATGAAATTTAATAACAGTGCTATAAGAACCTACCTAATTGGCTCATCTGACACTTTAATGAGAGTTATAATGTCTTAAAATGCCTATTGTGCCACTTTCTTATAGCTGTTCCATTTTTAACAACACCAAGGACGTCTCAGCTTCTAGGCAGTAACTTTATAGCAAAATAACAGTAACTTTAAAGACCGTCTAACACAGACTGGAGTTGTCTATCTGTTCTGTCTTTAACACCAGCTGTAATTCTCGGGGGCTCCTAACATCAGTAGGACTGTTTGATGGTTTTCTCCTCTTATTTGCCTTCTCTGGCTACATTACATCAAACGAAGCAGAACGCCATTTAATCACATTTTGCTAAACTTCTCCCTCAAAGCTGACCGTGCTGACCGCTGACCGCTAGCGCCGGTGCTGCACGCGATGCACAAGGATGTTTGCCGGGCATCAAAGGGGCGGTTTGTGTTGTAAGCTAATATTTATGTAGAGTCCATATTACTGGGTGCAGCCCACTTACAGCGGAGCTCACAGTGCAAGAGGGAGAGTGGATTTCCTGCCCTGGGTTTAGCCCCAGGGCTAGCGGCTGCATTAGCTGGCCTGTTTCCCCCCACAGACCCACCAGAGGCTCTTTAGTGTAGTGTTAGGACTGGAGGTGTTCCAGAATAAACCCAGGAGCTACTCTAGTGGGTCTTTCATCAAACTGAGAGTTTGTGTGTGTCAGAGAGGGAGCGAAAGTGGGTTGGTGGGCCGAGTCTTGGGGTACGTTTGTGTTTCAGCACGGGTGTGTGTGTATGGTGTGGGTTTGAGGCATTCTGTTTGATGACCAGCGTTTTTGCTGTGTGTGGTTCAGGCTTCACCGCATGACGTCGCTGGAGCGGGAGGAGAAGGAGAAAGTGAAGAAGAAAGAGAAGAAGCTGGAGGAAGAAGAGATCATGCAGCAGGCCACCTGGGTCAAATACACATTTCCTATTAAACACCAGGTGAGCACAAGCTTGTGTGTAGTCTAGGGCCTAACTGAAAATGTTGTGGAAATGCTGGCAGTTCAATTCTGATGATGTAAACAGTAATTCAGAGCGGTTTGATGTGAAATTGTTCACTATAGAGAAATTTGCCAACTCTGGGTTCTTTACAGTGGTGGTGAAAGGAACCAGGGGCTGGACTCACAAAAGTGTCTTAAGAAAGATAATCTTCTTTTTCTTAACTTCATTCTTAAGAAAAAAGTTATGAAAAAAGAGTAATTGTTATTTCTCAAATAACTTCTTTTCTTAACTATTTTCTTAATAATAGTTCATAGAATATATGGAATTCTTGAAAATATTATTTACTTAAATCTCTTCTTAACCTTATGATAACTTCACACTTGTCTTAGGCTGTAAGAGTTGACAAGATCAGCATCTAAATTTATCATGGACACTGCCTCTGCTCCTCTAGCCTATCCTCATCCGTCACCCCACGATTGTCATATTTTCCTATGAAGATTTTTTTTCCTGTCGGCTGTTTCTTCCACCATCACCTCTAGTTCTTGTTTGCAAAATTTTTGGTTTGATGTTTTTCCTCTATTTTGCTCCTCTGAGCGGATTAAACTGAACAGTTAAAACAAATTCAAAATGTATCTTGAGTCATTTATAGTACAGGGTAAAATGCAACGTACATAAGAAAACAGTTAAGAAAATAAATAACATTATCTTAAGAGAATATTTAAGACCTTCCGAAGTTTTCTTGAATTCATGAATTGCATTTAAGAACATTCTTATGAACTTCTTAGTGTTTCAACCTTCGCAAGTTTTTTCTCAGTAAAGCTTTCGTGAATCCAACCCCATTTAGTATTTTTAGCTCCCCATTGACCTAACCCACTCACTCACTCGTGTTTAACAGGCTGAAGATTCTCCATAAGGGAGTGTGCTTAGCACTTCAGTAGATTTTGTTCTTCAGTAGTGTGGTGATTTGCATCAGAGACGCTGTGTGTTCCTGTCATACGTAATGTTGATAATGCTAAAATACATTAACAATATACATTTTCTTTGGGTGCCATTCTGCCATGAAAAGCTTATCTCAAAACAGTGTTTCAGACATCAGGCAACTTGCGTTTAACCATTTCATGTAATAACTTTCTGTGAGGGAGCTTTTAGAGCAGTGATCACCAACCGTCCTCCTGGAGATCCATGAACTAGCAGAGTTTGGTCCAACCTGCATCTAACATGCTGCCCCCTCCCAATACCTGCACTAATGTATCTGATCCAGCCAATCAAGGAATCACAAAGAAGTTAATTATCTGAAGCAGGTGTGACACATTGTGGTCCAAACTACACTGCACAGGAAGGTAGATCTCCAGGACCAGGGTTGGTGACTACTTTTAAAGGCACTAAACTTTAGACATCTGGTTCTTATCACCACCACTGTCAGCAAGTTTCCCTAAAACAGAGCATTTTGCATTGATGACTCTGTTGACATCATAATGGCTTAATTATGCAGAGGCTTTGAAAAATACCTTGTATGGAGCTAAGAATTCCTGTGTCTGATAATATTGGCCAGCGTAACTTGGCCAGCAGACTCCAGTTGTTTAAGTTAAACAGTACTTTACTATTATGATTATCTGTTGTCAGCTGTGAATTGCTGTCAAACATTATTATCAGGTCTCAGTCATCACTCAAATGAACAGCAGAAACTGTAATAAGAGCAGGTATTGAGTGCAAGTTTAGTGGTTTGTTTAAAGACTGAGCATGAACGCACTAAATTCTCAATGGTTTTCCAATGTGTGTTTGGTTTGGTATAAAAACTAATGATTGGTGCTCTTTTGATGGTTTTTTGGTGATATTTATAAATGTGCAGGACATCAAATTTGACAATTTATTTGCAAACCAATACATCAGTCAGGTCCAAATTCAGTCAGACTGTCATCCACAAAGACAATAAAGTGATGCAAATATGCAAATGTAAATAACAGATATAATCTCTTTGTCTCTTTACTGTCTTGTCATGGTCCATGCTTACCCACAGATTCTCCAGTTCAGATGACCAGATGTGTTTAATCACCCTTTTCTGACCAAAATCACAACCTGTTTGCATTACTTTGAAGTGTGTTTTTTGTGTAATAGGCTGGCTATGTTCTGATTATGTTAACATCAACCTTCTTCAAAGACAAACAACCTGGTATGTTTAGAGTAGGCTGTTAGATGATTTGTGAGTTCTTGAAAAAAACAGCCATGTGTTGAGAACACAGTGATAGTATACATAATATTAAACAGTTTAGATGATTAACTGATTGGCCTTTGAAAATGTAGGGTAATGTAGAGCTTGGTAGAGTCCAGTGTTATGCACTGTATATTGTCAAAAATAGCAAAATTAGTTTGAGTCTCTAGTCTTGAGGCTTCAAAGACGTAATATGTTTGTGTAATAAAATGTGCTTCTGGTTTAAAGGTGTGGAAGCAGAAGGGTGAGGAGTACAGGGTGACGGGCTACGGCGGCTGGAGCTGGATCAGTAAGACTCACGTCCATCGCTTCATGCCCAGACTACCTGGCAACACCAACGCTAATTACCGCAAAGAGCTGGAGGGTGAGTGCAGGGTTGTTCAGCTTAAAAAAAAAAACACTAGTTTAATTCATCCTTTACTGTATTTGTTCACTTTAATTAATTACTTAATTCCTTCCTTCTGACCATTTTTAATTTAAGGTTCTTTTATTAATTTTCGTTCTGTTTTGCCTCCAGCTGCCAAGAGTGGAAAGAACTCTTTAGATCTGAAGAAAGAAAAAAGGGAAGTGAGCCCTGAAACGACAAGCAGCGGCAAAGCAGAGGGGGACCAGGAACCAAAGGCGGATGAAAAGACCAAGGAAGAAAAGGAAGTTCCAGCAGACATCCCTGACTCTCAGCTAGATGAGGCAAAAGGTGTCTGCTTTTTTACGTCTTCATTTTTCTATTTATTTGCATTTTATTTTATGTTTTTTCATAACAAGACCTTTCAGTAATGCTTTACCGAGTGCTACACGAAGATGTGTTCATTTTTCATTTGTAGTTTCTGAGCAGGTCCTGTGTGTGTGTGTGTGTGTCTGTGTGTCTGTGTGTGTGTGTGTGTGTGTGTGTGTGTGTGTGTTTATTATTTATTTACTCATAAGGGAAACCCACTAAGACCTAAGACCTCATTTTTAATGGTTACCTAGTACAAAATTAAAAATCACACAAAATACAATAGATAGGATTGTTAAATGAATAATATTGATGACAACGATCATTAAAATAATAATAAATGAAAGATAGAGTGTAACAATAATAGTAATAGTTCAATTTATATGGTGCCTTTCTCAACCCCAAGAACACTTTAAGAAAAGATCAGAAAATAACAAAATACATAATGAACAATAAATAAAACAACACAGAACACACACACACACACAAACCAACTCTACGTTTCCAACAGCTAGCGAGGTGGGATTACAATGACCACAGTATAGAGTCACTTGGCTAGTCTCACTCCACAGCTACGGTGCGTCACACAGGCAGCCAACCTAGGAAGTCTTGAAGGCCGAAAATGTCTTTAGCCACAAAGGCAGAACATTTTCCTGCAGCTAAACACCACCAGGCCAGGCAGCCTCATAGCAGCACTGCAGCACCACCCTAGTGGCCGGCCTAGGCAGTCACGTAGCCGTGATGTAGCGTCACTTAGGCGGTAGGCTCAAGAGGCCTCCTAGCTGCTCCGTAGCGCTGCTCATGCAGCCGAACACTACCAGTCCAGACAGCCCTGTAGCTGCAGTGCAGCGTCATCCAAGCAGCCGGTCCAGACAGCCACAGTCTGTGACGTAGTGTCGATCAGGTCCCCGGTCCAGGCAGCCTTTTAGCCACAATATAGGCCACATCATAGCTGTGATGTAGCGGCCAGCCCGAGAAACCTCTGAGTCATGGGTGGAAAATCACTCTCAGCTGCTATCTCGTTGGAATAACGGCAATTTCCTCAGCCAGCAGGGAAACATCAAAGCATACACACCAACGTTGTGCCAGCGTACTTATATCGGATCGAACAGGCACACACACAAAGTAGACGAATTAAAACTATAATGTAATAAATTAAGTGTAATAAACATTCACACACATAAAAGAAATGCACAGATAAAATGTGGTTCTAACATTGACAGTTGTGCAAAAGTAGTGAGTCAGTGAGACCTGTTATAATACTTGAAGTTTTTGATTTAACATATTTCAAGTATAAGGTGCAGTAAAAGCAGGAGCTTGCTAACCCAATTCTGATTTTATTCTTGGCACCACAAGTGATGTTCCAGAGTGTGAACGACGGTCACATGAACTCTCCACTCTGACAAACTGTGAGCTTAAGTATTTTGGCAGCTGCCCAAAAAGTATTTTGTAAATATAAACAGCCCAACGCTTATATCTTCTGTGTCACCCTCTTGCAGGCTTTGCTGGGAACAGAAGTGCTACAGTTCCAGAAGAGAAGCATGAAGAGGGAGCGCCAAGGCAGTCATCTCCACGACACCGACCTTTCAACTATGACGTAGTGAATGTGAGCGAGGGCTTCCTGCTCCGAACAGCCTATAAGAAGGTGGTCAAGCCTTCCAAACTGGATGGGCTGCTCGAGCGGCGGGTCAAGCAGTACGAGATTGAGGAGAAGCGCCGGCCCGAATGGTGGAAGTCAGTCATCGCTTCCAACCCCAAGGTGGTGATCCAGAGACTTGAGGTTAAAGTGGACCCGCAGGCAGGGATAACTATACGACCTGAGGTCAAATCTGAGCTCAAATACGAGGTTACAAAGACTGAAGAGGGGCAGGAGTCTGCCGGCTCAGACGAAAAGCTAGCCTGTTCTGCTCTGGGTTCTACAGAAGAGCCAAAGTGCCTCCAAAGAACAGATGGGTCAGCAGATAAGACTGTGGAACAGGTAGGGCCTGATGGAGGCAGGAAAACACCTGGACTGAGCCAGTCTCAGTCTGCTGTTGAGTCAAATGATCAGTTAACTACGCCACTTTTCTCAGGTGACGCTGCTAAGCAATGTGCTAGCGTAGATGTTAGCAAAGGTAACCAGCAAACAAGCATAAGTACACCAGCACTCAATAATGTAACGTCATTGGAAGAGAATGGGCTTGGGTACAAGGATAAGGAGACCAAGGGAATAACTGTTATGGACAGTATAGCACCTCCAAAGCCTCCTCTTTCATTGCAAATGAATGGAAAAGATCTGACCAAAAGTGTTGTGACCAAGATGAATGATAGAGGAATGGAGGAAGACGGAAAGGCTCTGTCGCTCAAGGAGGCTGTGAAGCCTCTGATGAATGGAAACACGGTATTGGATGGAGATCCAGAAAGGAGAAACAGCACAGAAGATAACCCAGAATACCTTCCTCCTCAGAAAGTGCCCCGTCTGGGTGACACTGTGGAGGAGCTAGCCCTGTCCTCTCCAACTATACCTCACCCAACCAAGGCATTGCTCACAATGGACAGCAAAGAGCACAACAACATGGAAGCTAAGCTGGACGGGGTTGACGAAGTGACCCAAAGGACACTTGTTCCGTCTCCTGTGCTTTCAGTAGAGGAATCGAGCCTTAGCAATGATTTTGCAGAAAGCAACTGCAATAATGGTTCTAAGACAACAACAGATACCACAGTGGTCACTCAAGTCACCACAACAACAACAACCACGGTTTGTACAGAGTCACGCACAGCCCAGAGCTGCAGTGTTTCCACTCTCACCACCACAACCAAAACCACCATGACACGTGTGACCTCACCGACCCCACAGGGTCAATCCGAACGCGTTGCTGTCTCCAAGGATACAAAGACCACCTTGACCTCCTCATCCTCTTCCCCCTCGTTATCAGTGACGGTAAGCCGGGAGCGCTCTACACGAGAGCGGGTCCAACTGCAGAGCTTCAGCCACACCAAGAAGCCACGTTCAGGCTTGGCGCTGCCGTCCTACCGCAAGTTCACCACCAAAAGCTGCAGAAAGAGCATCTTTGTCCTGCCCAGCGACGAGCTGAAGAAGCTAGCACGGAAAGGAGGCCTCAGGGAAGTGTCCATCTTCAGCTACAACGCCAAGCCAGCCACAGATATCTGGCCATATCCTTCTCCAAGACCCACCTACGGCATCACCTGGAGGTCAGTTAGTTACTACGTCAAATCAGTAAAATTGTTTTTTTGCGTTTTTTTTTTTTTTTATTTTTGAAATTTTCTGTTTGCATTGTGCTGTTTTTAGCCAGTCTGTTCTCCATCAGGTCAAATGGTCTTTGTCATTTCTCAATATAAATTGTACACATTGAAAGCGAAATATCTTTCTTCAGGCCCCAGGTTGCAACATACCACAGCAGCAAATTACACTTCTGATTAAATACATTCCAATTGTAGATTAAATCCGAGGTGTTTATATGCTCACGCTACTCATTAATGTGATGGAAAATCTTAACTTACATGCACACAACAAGTAATCCGATCCAAAATTATGCGTATGTGTAGAGTACCACTTAGTATAGACATTACCATGACAACGAGCATCACCTGAGTCAAGTCAGAGTGGTACAAGCAGCAGTAAGTAGTGCTTGTGTTTTTAATTACTTTAAAATGATGTCAGACTCGGAAAACGTACTTGATGTCATGTTCTGAGACACATAAGCTGGACGCCCATCCCACCACTGTCTTTTAAAGCTCAAAGCATGAACTTTGTCTCCTCTGCAGACCAGTTTCTGCTCTGCCATATTGAATGTTAAAAACATGCGCTGTGACGTGACGCACAGGCGCAGAACGTACTTAAACTTTCCGATTGGGAATGTAGTCAGATACAGGCATTTACATGGTTATTATTCTTCTGTTTAACAGATTATTTACAGGATTACTGACCGTTCAATTGGATAGAAATGTATCTCCGAACGGCCTCAATTAGACAAGTCTATTCTGATTTAGATGTTTACATGGACTTATTTAGATGTTTACATGGACGTATTCTCACAGCAGCATGCAGGTAATTAAAGAGTGTGAAGTTGGAGGAGAAGCTGTTGCAGAGTCTGATGGTGGTGGAATGGGTACTCCAGTACATTCTGCCAGACGGCAGGAGGGTGAAGAGTGCACAGTGCTGGCAGCCTTGCAGATTTATCCTCTAGTCTGTCTGTCTATATATCTGTCTATTTGTGTATCTGTCTATTTGAAGTGGTTCACAAGTTGAAGTCTTCTTTAGGAATAATAATAATAATGGTGATGATGATGATGATGATAATAATGAAATAGAAAATAAAAAACATCAATAAAGTACAAATTAATTTAGAAACCTTTCTAAAATTAACGATAAAAGTAACAATAAAAATAAAAAAATAATAGAAATGTCAATAAAAATGTCAGTGTCAACTAGTGGGTGGAATTGGATACAGCTAAATTGGGGGAAAAATGCTGTAGTAAGAAAAAATGTTTTAAGGTGCTTTTGAAAACAGTGATAAATAAGCAGCTTTTTGAAGCGATCCATTGCTTCATAGAACTATTTTTATTATATAAATAAATCTATATAAATCTACTAATCAGTTTTAATATTCCAAAGGCAATCACCATCTTCACATTAATGCATAACAGTGCAGTTTTGTTTTGCACCCTTGTTCTTTAAATAAGTGTTCAGCTTCACAGTTCAAAAAAGGAGGCACTGGAAGAGAAACAGCTGAAAGCGTCGCCAGTTCTGAGTGTTTGTAATTGTTTCATGTTCCGTTTGTCTTCTTTCCCTCTTTGCTCTCTGACCGTAGTGGCCCCTGAAAGGAGACATCAAATTATTTTCATAGGCTGTATGCTCAAGACGTTAGTCACCTTTACTTAATAGGCAGGATGCAACAGTGGTGCCTTGACCACTGCAGCTTTTTCTTTTTCCCTTTCAAATATAGCATCTAGGGAAAAAAAAGATATCGTTCCTTATTTGTTCTGTTTCAAAACATTATTTCAGCATGTTAAGCTGTCCAAGGCAAATAAATCCACCATTAGGAGAGTATTTTGTTTAGTACAAAGCCAAAGCCTTTCTGAAAAGCAAAATGAAATCATTGGAAATCTGTTGTGTGTAGCACATTATTTCATTGATGTCAGCGCCAGAAACATAACTAAAACCTCTTAGGGATAAAAAGGTGCTTAAGACCACTTTCTAACTCTTAATTCTGTAATAAAGTATAACAATAAACAATGAACACTTAGCCTAAAAAAATAATATTTTTATAAATGTCAAGTACATTAGGTTTAAGTGTTGTTAAATTTAGGTTAAATTAATTTGCTGTACAACCGTAATCTGTTGTGTTTGGAATTCAGGTATCGTCTCCAGACGGTGAAGTCATTAGCAGGCGTGAGTCTGATGTTACGGCTGCTTTGGGCATGCCTTCGCTGGGACGACATGGCTGTGAAACCTTCCCCTAATGCTGGCACAACGCGCACAGGTAACTTAGCCATGTACTGCACTGTACTGTTGGCTGCAACTATGTGTTCTTGCACTCTAGTAGTTGCCGGTACACCGCTAGTGTTATTCCACATTCCAGCGGTGTCCGACATTCGGAAGCATGTGTATACGTGACACACAAATGAGACAAATAATTTAAAAAGCTCAGTGAAGCTGAAGTTGGCTTATTCAGATTTCCCATTCCACCTTAAATGGTGCAGCAGTTAGTGCTGCTTCTTTTTAGTTGCTATGGAAAATTGGAGCAAATAGCTGCCAAATAAGAAGCTAACTTCAGCCTTTTAGATATTTAGACGTGAAATAACATCGTTATAGCAGCATTTTTGTCAGGCCCGCAGGGCTAGTGTTAGAAGGCAGAAACAGAATATTGATATTTATCTACATATTGCTCTTTGCTATTTTGCACAAAAATAATCAAATTTACTTTGATTGTTAAAAAATGGTTCTTATGGAAAAGTGAAGAAACATTCCAGACTAATAAACCACTGTTAACCACCGTTAAGACAACAGGCTGACACTCAAAAAGCCACAAGAAATGTTTCAGAATAATTAATGTAATGTAATGTACTGTGTTTTCTGGTTTTGTGATATAGAAACATCAGAGACAGAGATCATTACCACAGAGATCATCAAGCGAAGAGACGTTGGCCCGTATGGGATCCGATCAGAATACTGTATTCGGAAGATCATCTGTCCCATTGGGGTACCAGAGGAGCCTAAAGGTGAGAACAGAGTTTCTTCTGTTGAGAGCAATCTAACCAGAGGTGAGCTGCACAAACACAAGTTAATCTTAATCGTGGAGCATTTTAGAAGAGTATTGCCATTAACTGAGGGATTTAGTTTTGGGAGAATGCAGAATTGTCCAGAGGCTTAGCCATGGGCCACACCTGATAGCACTGAAGTTAAACAGCACTTAATAAACCACTGCATTGAACTGCATCAAGACAGCCTGTAACTGAGTCTTTTTACTCTGTATAACAGATACGCCAACACCGCAGAGAAAAGGTCTGCGCTCCAGCGCTCTGCGGCCCAAACGGCCCGAACCCACCAAAGAGACCGGGCCAATCATCATAGAGACATGGGTGCCCGAAGAGGAGCTCGACCTGTGGGAGATCCGAGCCTTTTCAGAGCGGTATGATACAACCCTTTCCTTTTTAAACATAAAATAAAACGTCACTTATGGATGGGCAGCATCATTATTGTTATAAATTCCTTAAAATTACTTCACAACATGCTTTTCTGAGCATAATTAGTAGTCATGCAAGGAAATTAACATTTCTAACGCAAACCAGAACCAAAATTCGACACATATCGATACCAATTTTTTTTTTTTTTTGTAAGATGTTTTATTTATATTTATGCTTTTAAATAAATGTAATAAACTATAAGGCAATAACAACATTAATATGGAACAGTCATTCATAGAAATGAGGTTTATTTTTTAGTTCTACCTGTCAAGCTGGATGTAACAGAAACAACTTTTTATTTCACTGTTGATCTGCTGCTCCAGCTGTTTGAACATGTCTGTGCTGACCGGCCCAGGAGAGCGAGGAGACAAACAGCATTTTTACTCAGTATTCCTGTCTTCATTATCAGTAAAGTTATTTGTGAAGACACTGTAACTTAGCATTTAAGTGAAATTTTTAATTCTCTTTTTAATTTGAACTGTGTCATCTTATATGATCTCAAATTAAAATAATAATATAATAGTATTTGTTACTATTAAGCTTTATCACATGTCTCCAAAGCTCTTTGAGCTGTCACTGCTATTAAAGTTGCTCTATTAATAAAGATATTTTTATTGTTATTAAATCTTTTGTTTTTGGCCAACGTTTTTGGCCTATTTTTCGCTTTTGGCTGAAAAGTGTCACTTTTGATGTTTTGGTGGTCGAACTTATGGTGCATCCCTTAAAGTCATTTTTAATTGGATTTAGAGCAGTACAATGTGTGAAACGTAGGACAAAAATCACACTCAATAGTTTTTGTTAGTATTTTTACATGTGAAGCATCTCATGGACCTGACTTGTGACTCACTCACTAATTTAGGTTTCTTGTGAAGATTTTCCTCAAGGAGGTGCTGTTAGCACAGAATTTTTTGTTTTGTCCAACTTATTGCCCATTGTTTTTTTTTCTTCCCATATAGTGCTGTGTTGATGAGTGTTGTGGTGGTAAAAATGTTTGCCATATTGAGTAATTGTTACAATGATGACCTCCTTAACAATAATTTGTAAAATGCCTCCTATCCATTTGAATATATATGAATATGCTTGCGTGATGAACAGCAACCGTGAGCCCTGACAGTAAAGTTCTTTTATGTTCTCTGTTGGATTCAGGGCAGAGAAAGAGAAAGCCCAGGCTGCAGAGCAGGCCAAGGTTAGTGCTCAGAGGAAGGCTATGGAGCTTCAACAGAAGGTGGGAAGATGGAGTCATACAGACATCAGTCCAGTCCAGTTTGAATCCGGTTTAAATTTGCACCCTGTTTAGATTGGATTGTAGTTCAGTTGCTTCACTAAAAAAAAAAAAAAACTTCTTTAAAAGTTCTACATTGTAGTACTGGGCGTTACTGATAACGCAGTATTAGCGTATTTTCCAAATGTATCACAGTATCAGATGATATTTAATGGGAATTCCACCAATTATCCAACATTTCCACATAATTAAATTGTTAAAATATGAAGTCATTCAGAGTGGTTTGATGTGACATGCTATCTTCTAGAGAAACTCAGAATTGTTCACAGTGGTTGTGATCGGAACCAGACATCTGAAGAGTTTAATGCCTCTAAAAGCTCCCTAACAGAAAGTTACTAGGTGAAATCATTGTACGATACACTGCGGGATGTCTGAGGCGCTTTAACGATAGTTTTAAGCAAAACCATTTTAAAATCCATGTACGGCGGAGGGATACATGCAGGATTTTGTGAGGCAAAATAGTCCTTAAAGACAACATATTTTTTTAGATTCTCCACTGTTTTACCATCATCAACGTTATGTATAAAAAAACTCAGAAGACACAGGTAGGTGTAAAAATGTATATTTTTGTATATTTGTGCTATATTTTTGTTGTTGACATTGCAACCTATGGTTCCTTTCACCACCACTGTAAAGAAATCTGGGCCTGTAAGCCACTCTAGAAGGAACTGTTTCTCATGAAATCACTCTGAACGACTTTGTTTACATCTCAACCACTGAATTATGCAGCAATTTTGAAAAATTGGTGGAATTCCCTTTTAATGAAGCCAAAAATCAGTATTGTTTTTTGACACCAGTACTGGTGTAGTGGTAACAGAAAACAGACAACCCAACAATGTAGTGTAATTTTTATTTAACATCTGTTAAATAAAGTGAAAAAGATAGCCCAGGGCATTGTCCGACTTCTGCAGAATTCGCTCATTACTGACACTTGTGCTGTGTATTGTCACTGTCCAATGAAAAACAAGTATCCCCAAAATGGTAAGACTACAGGAGAGGGCATAAATGGGCTTTACTTTCAATGTAAGTTAAAATTGAAAAAAAAAGAGGGTCGTGTTTTTCTTTGGACAGCGATGATATGTAAAAGTTTTGAGGTATCACATTAGTTTGAGTGCTGACCGTTACCCTGTGCTCTTTTAGAAGCGTTTGGAACAAAAGCAAAGTTCTGGAAGTTCAGCGGTCACTCCTTGTAGCAGCCCCTCCACCCCCAGCACTCCCAAAGTCATTGTAGGGTCCCTCACCAGCCAGGTCTCCCCTGGAACCAAAGTAGTACTCGCTACCAAGATGGGCACGCCAGTAACATTACAGCAAAACAAAAACATACAGCAGACATTCTCCACCTGGGTCAAAGGCCAAGGTAAGACAAACCAACATTCTGTTGTTCAACTTAACCTCCACTTCTATGCTTTGTGCATAGAGGATTATCAGTAGAGATGAGCACACCATCCTCCTCTGCCTCCTGTGTGACATTTAAATGTCTGAGTGTGACCTTTTTTGTGCATTTTCGTTTTAGATCCTTGTTTATTTCCATTCTCTTTGATCTTGCATTTAAATGGATTTGTTCCTAAACCACTGTGGCTGAACTGCCCACAGCAGACATGCCTGCTGAACCCTCCAATCATACATGGCGGTTTGCTGTTGTTGAATGAGTGGAACGTTTGTGACGTTGGCCTGCATGACGCACTGCATGCGACAGTGGCCGAACGCAGACTCTGCATGGGCAGCAGCAGCTGACCGTTAGCTGTCTCGTGGTTGAATGATGGTTTGCCTTGCATCGTGACGAGCGTTCGGCATGTGGTGGTGTCATCCTCTTCTGAAGCTCAAGGCTTTGTTCCATCAGTCCATCACAATGAGCAATTAAAATATGCCCCAAAAAATCATCAGCATAAAACTTCTGTTTGCAGAAATATCAATTATCTATTGCAGTCTTTTACTAACTGTTTCACAGTTTAACCCCCTGAACAATCCAGGTTTATTGCATACAAAGGCTAATTATTCAACTACACACTTAAAAGAAATGGTTCTTCAAGGGTTCTTTAGTAAAGAAAATAATTCTGAATAGTACAATGAACACTCAAAGAACCCTTTGCATGATTAAAGGGTTATTTGCATTGTAAAAGTGTTCTTCAGACTGATGATGAATATGCTGTAGATGGTTCTATATTGAACCTTTTTGAAGATTGTTCTATGTAGCACCAGAAAGGGTTCTTCTATTGTAACAAGCTTGATGTAGTAACAGTAGAAAACCCTTTTGGTGCTATATAAAAACCCTTTTCCAAAACATTCGAGGTGTGGACTTGAGTCATATGACTTGGACTCAAGTCAGACTCGAGTCACAAATTTAATGACTTGAGAAAATCAAGAAAATCGAGAAAGACTTGCGACTCGACTTTGACTTAATATGCAGCCGAACACTGGCTAACATGCTGTCCTTAAAAGGTTCTAGTACTGTTAGCATTATTTAGTGTTATGGCCTTAAATTAGCTAAAGAATGCAAACTGACTTGTTTAGGACTCAAAGATTAGGACCACTGACTTGGGACTCCACTTGAGACACGCCTGTACTGACTCGGGACTTGAATCGAGACTCAACTACCTTGACTTAGGGCTTGACTCAGGACTTGAGTGTCGAGACTTGAGACTTACTTGCAACTTAGTGATTTGTTTCTAGCTCTGCCATTTTCTTTACTAAAGAACCCTTGAAGAACCATCTTTTTTAAGTGTGTACAGGGACTTCAGTGCAAACTATTGGAGCAATTCTTAGATTACAGGAGTGTGTAATAAAAATTTAAGGGGTTAAACAAATCAAAATGAAAACAAAACCATTTAAAAAAGTAAATCTAATATTTACTTTTATTTAAGTAAATAAAAAAAAGTTTGCCAAAAAATGTTTGTGTGGGTACGTTGTGTTTATAGATGTTGCTGATGGATGATTGAATACAGGTCTTTGTCAGCTACCACCCACTCATCACATCGTTTTCTTTCTCGACACATTTACTCTCCTCCACCACTAACTTTTAAATTACTACGATTTTTTTGTGAACACTTTTTCGGTGCCCTCACAGTGTCCAACAACACTGTCACCTCCGTCTCCTCAACGGCGGGGCAGATGTTCCAAATCTCAGGGAGTCCCTTGGCTGGAAAAGTCATCACGGCCAAACTCCCACTTCCTGCCAACAGCAAGATCGTCACGCTCAGCGTACCCACCACACAAGGAGGTACTGCAGCTGACTGTTACTGTTAGACATCTGCTGACCGTTGCTAATGATTGCTGGTGATCGCTGAGTTTTACTCACAGCTTCTGACAGCTAGTGAGTGTTACTGACGACTACTGACATTTTGGTGTAAACTGGACCGCAGCAGACAGTAACATCAAATTTATCCACTAGAACCGCATCAGACAGTAATATCAAATTTATCCACTAGAACCGCATCAGACAGTAACATCAAATTTATCCACTAGAACCGCATCAGACAGTAATATCAAATTTATCCACTAGAACCGCATCAGACAGTAATATCAAATTTATCCACTAGAACCGCAGCAGACAGTAACATCAAATTTATCCACTAGAACCGCAGCAGACAGTAACATCAAATTTATCCACTAGAACCGCATCAGACAGTAATATCAAATTTATTCACTAGAACCGCAGCAGACAGTAACATCAAATTTATCCACTAGAACCGCACCAGACAGTAACATCAACTTTATCCACTAGAACCGCACCAGACTGTAACATCATATGAATCCACTAGAACCGCACCACACAGGAACATCGTTAATCCGGTAGAACTGCACCAGACAATAACGTCAAGTTTATCCACTAGAACCGTACCAGACAGTAACACCAAATATATCCTCTAGAACCACACCATACAGTGACACCAAATTTATCTACAAGAACCACACCAGTAACATTAAATTTATCAACTAGAACCGCACCAACAGTAATATCAAATTTATTCACTACTTACGCACCTAATTAGCTTGTGTATATTCCCAGTATTCGCGAGCACTGCAGTGAGAAATGTTTGTATCAGGTCAGTCCATATGAAATCACTGAAGGCCTCTTCAGATGTGCTTAATACTGAGAAATAATATAATTGTGCCAATATATTGTGTGCAAAAGTTTAAGCTTATATCTTTATTAGTTTCTGAGATATATATGCTTAAAAATTTGACAATAGTCTTAAACTGAGTGAAATAGAAAAAGGTGCAAACTTTAATAAGTCATAGCTTTTGAACTATTGGTGCTAGATAAATGAAATAGTTTGGGATTATTTCTGGGAACATTTTGGTAATAATTAAGTTGCTTAACTGCCAAAACACAAGATACAGATATGGAACATCTGAAATATATTCATTTTTATATATTTATTTTGGCACACTGACACTGGTCCTCTGTATTTCCACATTGCAGCACATCAAATTTTTCAGATTTTGCTATTTCTGATATCACAGTAATCTTTTGTCATTTGTTGTTAATAACCTTTGTAATTCACAAAGGTTTCTGATTTTTGAGCCATTGCAGTGGCAACACATCATTTCAGCCTACATTTCAAATACTTCATGCTCGTGTCTGTCTATAAAATTGTTTACTCAAATAAAAAAAAACAATGTTGGTATCTTGAGCTATATTTAAGCATCAAATATAATTTTTTATAGAAAACAGAGCCGTATTTATGTGCTGCAGTGTGGAAAGACAGAGGGACTAAGTTGCCCCCATGCACTTTTTCTCCCCACATTTTATAACATGTCATAACATGTGTATCTTCTGTTTTTGTAGTTAAATATGCCTTAAACCAAAGAATACCTGAAAAAAATGTGTCCAGCATCAGTTGGTCAAAAGAAATTGTTTTGCGCCCTTTTTTAGCACTTCAAAGCAGGAAACAAGGCTTCTAAAGCCTCTGTATCTTAGGAAGTAATAAAGATACAGGCCCTGAAGTTTTGCCTGAAGTTTACTGGCATTATTTTGTAAGGAAATCTGACATGGTCAGTGGGGAACATTTTATAAAATCTGAAATGTGGATTTACCTTTTTAGTTGTTAAATAATATACTTAGAAAATGGTTATTTTATTAAAAAAAATAGTTTGAGAAAAGCCCTCAAATTTCTGTTACACCATACAAATTTACTTTACATTTCAATCAGAAGGTGCTGGGAGAAAGAATACTTAATGAATAACAAACTGTATAAACACGTTGCTGCTCCTGCTGTTTTTTGCTGTCAGTGTGAGATTTTTCACACTGGGATAATTAATGCCATTTAAAATGATCACTGGGAAATGTCAACATCATCAAAAACAAGCAACAGCCCCATTTGTCCCAAACCCAGCCTCAGACACTCAGTCCTAGTGCTGCGTCTCAACTGACACTCAAAGTTAGTAGAAAGGCACAAAACTCACTGAAATAAGTCTGTTTTTTTGCCTCTTAGTCTTTGACTGTGTATGTGCAGTCTAGCCTTGCTGCTTGGTGACATAAGCTTTGGAAAGAGAATTCCACTAGTTTTTCATTTAGATGTAAACATGGCCATTGAGAGTGGTTTGCGTGGTTATTCCTCAACATGGTGATAGAAACCAGACATCTGAGGAGTTTAATGCCTCTAAAATCTCCCTCACAGAAAGTCATTACATGAAATGCTTATGAATACACTGCCTGAATCATGAGACATTGTTTTAACTTAGTTTTGAGAAAATTTTGGTCTAAAACACATTTTTAAAATCCATTCATGCTGGAGGGATACATGCCAGGCATTGTACGGCAAAAATAATGACGAGAAGAAAACGTCATTTTTCAGACTTACCATTGTTTTACCATCATGAACATCACATATAAAAACTCAGAAGACACGTTTAGGTTCACTGGTGGTTTTGGATGGTGAAAAAAATGGCTATATTTCTGTTGTAGACATTGTGATGCCTGGTTCCTATCACCACCACTGAGTTAGTAAGTTTCTCCGCTATGAACCATTTCATATCAAACCACTCTGAATCACTTTGTGTACTTTTCAGTGATATAATTATGCAGAAATACCCCCCGTGTGGGATTTTTGCCCTGGTTCTCAGGGTCTTTTCCCACGATGGGTCAATAGGTGTTTTATGACCTTTTTACACCACAGCAAATGCTCCACTCTACAACAGTTTAACCGTTTTCACACTAAACACTTCAGTGTTTATGTATCACAGATGCTGCACTCTGCTAAAAAGCTCACAATGCAAATAAATAAATACCTTTCATGTTACTAGTGCACCCAAACATAAGACTGCCTGCAAAATTTGTTTTCTCTTTCTTATCTTGGTGGGTCAGGATCCATTTGAAATATATTAAAAAGATTTAGATGTTTTTTACGACGCTGGAGGAAATAAACGTCATTGGCCGTGGCTTCAACCAGGAATCCTGAAATTATGGCATTTCTGTGGTTCGCAACTGATTTTTTTTTTCGTGTTAATTATAATTATATCTCAGAATTTAGATGAGCTGTTGGCTTTGTTGCCTAAACCACAAAAAAAACACTCACTGATGACAGGCTTCCCCGACTCTTCTTCACATGGTGTACAAATACATAGTCATATGCTAAAGTTTGAACACCCCCTGGTCAAATTGCATGTTTTGCTTTTTTTCTAAGTGAAATATGTTATGCATCCTCTACAGAGAACACACTTATATATGACCTTTATCTGCAAATTTTAGTACACAATTTCTACTCAGCTGCTCAGTTTTACATATTGGAAGAAAATAAAACAGAATATAAAAAGTTCCATAATTTTTGCACTGGCCAAATTTTATGTTTAATTTTTTTCCAAGATGTTAAATTCAGCGAATAAAGAGTAACTGTGCATTAAAGTGTGCAGACGTGTGTTCTCTGTAGAGGATATGTTCACTTATTTTCACTTATAAAATCAAGAAAACATAATTTGACCAGAGATGCCCAAACTTTTGTATATGCCTAATGTATAGTTAGATGGCATAAAAGTTAGAATACTTGAAGACTTGCTCGTCACGTTTGTGTTCGGTTCTTTATTGACTGTTTGAAAGCTTTGTCTATTTTCATAATGCAACAGTTATTGTTAATGTATGGAAAATGTTAATAAAGCAATAAGCCACGAGAGGCCGTGGGTAACTCACTGCCTCTAGTGCCTTATTGCTTTTATAAAATGGCAGCCAACATAAAATATATTAAAATACACAATGTTTTAGATAATTATTTAAGTTACTATTAATAAAAATCGACATAAACAAGTATTTTTCCAAGAAATGTAGTTCCTTTAGAGTACAGTATTGTTGCTAAGCATCCATTGACCGCTGAATGAGGAGAAGAACGTTCAGTTGCCAGTCACTGTGAACTGCAGACATTTCATGATTTTTTTAAAAAACTTTTTATTGTATAACATATGTAACAGCACTGTTTAACGCAAATACTTTCAGTTTATAAGTACTTTTTGGTCACCAGATTACCACCATGAGTCTTCTACCAGTCTGACGATGCCACTTTTCTTATGCTGGGGCTGAATCTCAAACGGCTCCCTGCTCCCTACATAGTGCACTACGTAGGAATTTGAACACTGACTCCTGCACCCCAACAATGCAAAATATCGCTAAAAATGGTCATTAGGGATTCATACTCAACAAGCAGTGCACTATTTGACAGTAGAAGCTAGAATAAACTTAATGTTACACAGCACACTATTTAGCTAGGGAATATGGAGTCGTTTGGCATTTAGGCTGGGTTTGATGCTACTTCTGAAGCACAGACATATGAAGCGTGTAAGCCATTCAGGTAACATTCTTTAGACTTTTATATTGCCGTTTTTCAGTGAATCATAATGTGAGTACTTTAATTCAAGCCTGTGATATTAACTAATGTTGGAGTTGTTTAGCATGTTTGCTATCTTTTAGCCTGTTTACTAGCTGACCACCCTAGTTCTAGTAAATAAGTTGTCAGCCCCTCAGTTTAAACAAAAACCAGGTTCTTACTTCATCAGTACATTCTGTGCTCCATGTGGTCAGCATTAGAGTCAAAGATTACTCAGCTCAGCCAATCAGATTTTAGGACCAGAACTATCCGTTTTATAAAAATAAATAAATTGTGGCTGGTTTAGTTGAATGCATCATATAGTTATCTTAGGAATCCATGTCACCTCGCTTCAACAAACCCCTACACATGTAGAATGCGCTTTTAATGATCTGACAATAAGAATTTTCTATGTACCATGCTG